TGGAATGTTATATTATTGCTAATTGCTGCCGGACGTGCTGTGCTGGTATTAACATGAACTAGGGGCTGTCTAACAACATAATTGAGTTTAAGATTTGAAGATCCTTGAAAACGATCCAGCCTGTATGCAGAAGTTGTTGAACATCAACTGATTAATAACTGCATCTATGTCTTTTTTTTCTTATCAAAGTGTTTAAATTCTAATTTATTGGTCAGCGTCCAGCGTCCGCCGTGCGCCTTATACTCAATTTTCGTTTTTCTTCGATACAAGTTCTACAAGCGCGGCACGTCCGGGATACATCGACACATCGATTTAATGGGTAACGGGTGGGCCTCTACGTTACAACGCGAATTATAATGTAGAATATCATCATCTTCATCATCATCGTCGTCGTCGTTCATTATACAACAATCATCGTAATAATTATTATTACTATTATTATCATCGTTTCATCGCGATCGATCATCGTGGTATGCCTAAGACAAGTCGGTATTAAATATCTTACAATACACATCATCTTCCATATATTTATTTATATATATAATATTTATAATTTACCATTTTTTCTTTATTCATTATGTATACTATCTATGTATAGGGTAGTCAGATTCAGCTCTTGTGTTCCATTCATTTCTTTTGCTGTTCTCATTTGTTCACGGTGAGAAAGTAAACAAAATAAAAAAACAAAGAACAAAAGGAAGAGAGGCGATGGTCGTTCCGGTGCTCGACGTCAGATCACGTGTCGACTCGTCAACGAGGGGAATTCGTCGAATGTGTGTGTTGTGCTGTTCTCCGCGTCTCGTCCCGAAAGCACGATTATCCATTTTAAAAAATGTTCTCGCGGTTAATGCTAAACGCAACTATACATGTGGACACGGTGCCGCGGTGGAATATCGAACGATCGTAGAAAAAACCGTGATAATATATAAAAAACTAAACGCTAAGTGACTTGACGTCGAGCAGTGTAATGAGAGAGAGTTGGTGAGAAATTATACTCGTCGGAAATCGCTGCGCTTTTCTTTTCGTATAATTCGTCAACGCGTTGTTTGTCGCTTATCAAGGAGACTCGTGAACTCTATAGGAAACGGTCCGTTTCGATCGTGTTCGTCTCTATCGTGACAAACGTCTCCCTGATTTTTTCGACGTATCGTCATACTTGTGACGCCTGTGCTTACAAAATACAAAAATCGGATAGGTTAATTTTTTTCGAGATGGTATTACAGTATATCATATTACGATACATTAGACGTTACATTAATCATCTGTTATTCAATTGTAAGCGTCGAATTTTCTTTTGCCTTTCTCTTCGTTTTCACTTAATTATCGGTTACCGAGATTTTTAAATTTTGTTTCACGCGCGATACATTACACCGTACATAGTTCGCGCAGGCCACGTACCGATAGACGAAGCTGCGAAAAAAAAAAACGAGTAACTAGGGGCTTCGGGACCTCTATCTCGCTCAGAGGTAGTATCGTCTAATTTCGAAAGTGGGAGGAGAGGAGAGGGGGGCTAACGCGAAACGACGCATTCGATTCGGTTCGAAAAGGTAAAAAATTCAAATAGGAAAAGGGTATCAAAAGCTACACGAGAGAATTGATTCAAATCATCTTATACGATTGCCAGCAACAGTGTCCGCCCCCCGATTCGTCGAACGGAACGTGGCATTTCTCTACGGATTCGCAGTCTACATCGTTTTCTCGTTTTATTCCAGCGACGCGTACAAAATACCGTTCGAAGGAATAAAGGGCTTCTACGCACTGTCACTTATACGAAGACGAAATTAACTAATCAGGTATTGAGTATTTTCGGATTTATATGTTTGGTTAAAATAAGTACAAGATGAGGGATGATGTATGGCGAGCATGCGAATGCGAACCTTGATTTTCGTACTCGTACATGTCGATTTGAAATATTGATTTCGTTCGGCCTGTAAAGAAGATTTTACTATGCGGGGAATGACATGGAAGAGCATCGAAACAAATGCGGGGATAAGAAACCGGAGGATCGTGAGTATGGAAAGTGAATCCGCGCATAAAATCGCGAATCGTAAGGACAGAATACGGCTAAGGAGGGTTTGAAATGAGATAAATTGGAAATGAGTAAAATAAAAAGAGAGCAGCGCATATTTTCCATACACGTACGAGGAAAAGATTTTTTTTCTCGGGCGGTTTGGTTTCCGTAGTATCTAAACGTGATTTCAATAAATAAGCTACCTAGGGAGCGATTTCTTTTTGGGAGAATAGGGGCAGGCGCTCCTTACGTGGCGAGTCCTTGAAAAACGAACGACTCAGGGGTAGTTCGTAGCGGCCGAATTCCATTTTTTCGGAAACAATTTGAGAAATAAAGCTACAGGAACGAGTCCTCGCGTGGCCGTGGAAACTTACCCCTGATTCTGTTCGTCCGAGTCGCCACCGCGTCATATAATCGTGTACCTAACCTAGTAATACAGTCTGCGATAGCGTCCTAAGGATTAAATACAATAACGATCATATTAATATATTACACACACTCATACGCGTCCAGAGGTAAATACATACGCACGCGGAAAATGCACACAAATACTTAAGCTCGTACACGAACACGCAGTTTAAGCCCGATAATTAATCGGTAATATCTCACTCTCATTCCTATCAGAAAATAGACTTCTGTGTGAATTACAATGTTCGACGCGACCGGATCGCGATAAAAAGTAATCGTATTCCAAGGTATAAGTCTCGTATAAAATGCTCAGAGATCCGTAGGTTTACTAAAAATATATACGCTATCGTATCTTGCTTTTCTTGAATGTGTATATTCCGATTTTTTCTTTCTTTTTGTCGAAAAGGGTTTGTCTGTGTGTCTGTGTGTATGTGTGCGTGTACGCGCGCGCGCGCGCGCGTGTGTGTGTGTGTGTGTGTGTGTGTGTGTGTGTGTGTGCGTTACAAGTAATCGACAATGCAAATATCGTTATTTTTACACGACCTTTACGAGTATGTCGTACTTTTTTTCAATATATAAATAAGATCTATTTGAATGGTAAAAAACAGGGATTGAAAGTAGTCGTAATATCGTCTTCGGCTTTTGAAAGAATTATCAACAACCAACATCGATGAATGTATATAACGTTTAATTTCACAATATAAATTTGACAACTATTCCGTTATTATTCCGTGACAAAATAGAAATTTCAAACGTGTTGATGATACGTGTATACTATTTGTGTTCCCGTATATAATATGAAGACGTTATGTGGTTGTGCATTATACATGGTGCCGGCCATAAGTGCTGTACATGTATATATCGTGTGACGTATGACTCTGTTTTTGTATGTCTCTGTACGATGTATGCGTATGCTCGTCTAATAGTATGATAAGATTGATAAGTTATATTTTGAACATATCAAACACAATTAACAATTTCATTGAACGAGAACTGAGCGTAAAACCAATCCAAGACCGATGCTCAAGTCGAAACTAACACGTGCCTATATGCAAAACATCTTAGACTTACAATACGTGTATACACGATTTCGGTTCTTCATAATTCTTTCACGGTTTCTAAAACACGGTTGTATACAAACAGTTGGAATAAGTTACTTTTATCTCTGCAAACGTTTCCAATCCCCCGTAAAAAGTTCTTCAGTGAATGGAACAGTTGTTAATAAAATAGCGATTCCAAAACAACCGCACCGCGAGCTTCAACATCGACGCGACGGTGAGAACTGCGTGTACGTTGCGAGCACGTACGCAAACACGCAAGCACGCACACATTATTCATACACGCAGGCAGGCAGGCAGGCATGCAAGCAGGCAGGCATGCAAGCAGGCAGGCAGGCAGGCAGGCAGGCAGGCAGGCAGGCAGGCACGCACGCACGCATGCACGCACGCACGCACGCACGCACGCACGCTATATTAGGCGGCGTAATTAGCACAGCGAGCGAGAGAGTCTTGCGCGGCACGAGCTCTACTGCGCGAGTGCGCGGGAGTTACATTCTTTCAGCGCCCGCCTTCCCCAGAAATACTTCCTTCTCGAACAAATCCCGTGTGTCGTCAGTGAAAGTTCGATGTCACATCCCGATCTTCATAATGTGTTTCGCTATTTTGATGCATCGGTTCCGAATTTAGAAGGTTACGATTACCACGCGATTTCAGTTCATAGTCGATTTTCGTTAAGTTCGATCCATTAGCAACGGGATCATGGGATCGTTGCGATTCGAAATTCGAACCGGAAGGAAATATTTCTATCGGCACAAACCATTCGTGTATCTCCCCGCGCATCTATTCCGGTTTGCGACAGCGTTCTGAAGCACGTCAGCTGTCCGATTGTGCAACGATTTAGGCCGATCGCATATGCAAAGGTATGTACTTCCTCCACCGCTAAACGATCGACGGATTCTAACGGTCTAAAACGAACTCGCGTTCTCTAGCGGCTCTGTCTGTTCCCCACCCTCCCACCCTCCCTCCTCGCCCCCACCCCTGGCCTTCGAACTAACAGACAACGAGAGTGAGAGGACGACACATGAAAATGAAAACGAAATGGTCGATGACAGACGTTGTCAACTGATAGCGCGAAAGAATTTAGCGATGGAACGAAAGAAAGGGAAATTATGATATCGCGGTTAACTTGCCTGAAAGGATTCAGTCGGGGCAAGTGTGTGAAATAGAATCTAACGACATGTAAAGAAAGCTCTATCCAGTAAGACTATCTTCCTGCGAGGTTCGCACACCCGCTTCCGCGATTAATTTTTCGTTGTTCTTTTTTTTTTACCTCGAACGAATAGTCCTCAGTGGGAAGGACGTGTACGCGAGCCACCAGCAGGAGGAAACAATGGAAGGCGAGCCAGCTTTATTCGTTGCGATCAATCGAAGCGCGTGCTTCGAGCCGCGTTTCCGAGTGATGCCGCTTAAGTGGGTTCCTGACATCTCGACCGTACGTTTCTACCAGCGTATTTGGCAGTCTGATCTCAGGTTCTCACGGGTATATAGAGGTGGCAGTCTTGATCGGCGAGCCAATACGCGGCTCAATACTTGCTGGCCTCGACAAACAAACGGCTTTCGTGCCGTCTTCGGGGTGCTGAAATCTTCTCGTCCTGGTGCATTTTCCATCGATTCGAGTGCCGGTAACGATGCGTCGTATGAATAATCTCCCTCGTACTGTCGACCTGCAACAGGGAATTCTTTGTGGCCCTCATTACGGGCGACGGTTTCTTCGGGCCGAAGTACGGATCCCGTGGATCCATGCCGCCCATGTCCGCGTTCACCAAGCTGTTGTGATGATTTATGTCGGCATGGGGGTTGTACTTGATGAAATTGAAACACTCCTGTCGACCGCGAGGATTCTTCATCGGTTTGCCGAACTTGTTGAAGCCTAAATACCGCGAGCTGTCTATCACGCTTCGGTACCTTAAATACGAACCGTTGTAGATTTCGTAAAACTGGCACATTGGACCTTTCTGCTTCTTGGGCTGTAACGAGAAAATGATATTCTTCTTAGGCATGCTCAATATCTTAAGGGGTCATGAATTCTCAGTCAGAAATTTTCCAAAAATCGATTTTTCACTATTTACATTTTCTTTAAGTATATCTCGAGAAAATTCTGTGCAAGTTTCAAGGTAATCCTATTAAAAATGACAGAGTTACAGGCGTTAAAAAATGAACATTTTATATAAGTGTAAGCTTGACTTGAAACTTTAAACGCGTTTTTCTCGAAATTACATTTTACAAATCGGTGACCAATATTTCTCGAAAACTACTGTGTCGATTTACATGAAGTCTTTTGCGCCTTATTTCAAATCAGAAAAACTTGTCCTGGAACGAAGGAATCTTTTGTTCGTTCCATACTTTTTTTTTAATTGACCAAAAACGAGTGATTTTTTAGGTGAAAATCGCACTTTTTCGAAAAACCCGACGTTCAAGGACAAGATTGGTTCTTCCATTACATAAATCTTACTGAACTTTTAATTCCAGATGAACCGTTACGAAATTACAGTGATCACGACAGACCACTTTTTGTGACGAGACATCCGGGAGATCACTCACCATTTATTTACTAATAAATATTTTTAAATAAAAAAATACTTTATAATATAGAAACTGCAATCTTTGAAACAGAAGCACACTTTTTGAAAAGGGTCTTATAGTTTTCGAGAAAAAAATTCCCAAAGAACACTTTTTTTTCGGCCTCCTGACCGAGCATGACCCCTTAAATTATTCAACGTACAGAGTGTTTCAGACGCGAATTTATTTTTGAAATAGGAAACATGTTACTTTCTTCGTCTTATGTACTGCTGAACTCGTTAAAATCGAATAAGTTAGAAACTGAAGAAAGGATTAATTGTATGAGCGTTTTGATTGAAAACATACTGCACGTTAGTTGCTTTGTACGTTGTTTTTTACTACTTCTAATATAATTATCACACCATGAGTTCTTTCCGAAAGTTGTAATAATTCCTCAATGCATTTACAAGTACCTATGTTCGAATAGAGTGGAAAGAGTTGAGGTATCGCGATTTAATAATCTCACTCGTAAATTACAGTTCTACTTAGGAGACGCTTTCTAGCTACCCGCCACTAAGAGCAATAATGTAAGCGATCAATATAAATATCTGAACTGTGCAATCCAGCGCATTTTCCGTCGCGTATAAATTCACTCGCTCAGTCAGGATGATGAAATATGTCTACTAATTGGTAGGCATGTAATTACCAGGCCGACAAGTTTCCACCGCTTGTTGAAGCAAATGTATCGCTGACTCTTTTCCGCGAAGATATACAGCTTCCTACTGAAATCTTCGGATTGTGTTGTAAGTTTTTCTGCAACATGAAAAGGCAAAAAATTCAATTAAAGAACCGTAATAAAGATTCCATTAATCGTGCATTAATATATTTCTTCATTTTTACGTTTTTAAATCATTTAGAATTTTTCTTTTTAATCCGTAAATTGTTTAATATTTTTCGAATCGGACAACAATTGCCGTTCGGAAAAAGAGGAAAATATTACATAGTAACTATGTATAATAATTACATGTAGGTACATCTGAAGAGTACGAAAAATAGATGGTCCTTTGATTTCAAGAAAATAAAGTCTGTATATGTTTGAGACGCAATCTTCTTACAGTTAAGTTCAATTTAACAGACTTCGCTGTGGTTTGTCTTGCTTCCACAGAAAGTGAAGAAATGGAAAGTTAAAAAAAGATAAGATAATATTTTCGTAAGTAACCGTGTCTGTTTTATGCACAAATACTTTGTACATAGACAGTCGCGCAATAATGCTAAAACTGATTTTGTACGAGTGATAGACAAAGTCTTCGTCCTTTTGAAAGAAATTCCGTTACAAACAAAATTCCTTAGATAGAATTGTATTCCACGTTTTCGAGTCGTTTTTCTGTTGCTCGTTGTTTATTTGTATCACTTCAAAAATATTTTCGTGCACCACGTTTGAACATACAACGATTTATACCTACGTATAGATCGGCGTATACATATGTATTTCCGTATATTTTTGCGGAAATAAGTCGCTTAATATCTAACAAGAAGTCTGGACAGGTTACACAAACGCGATGTAATCAATGCTCAGGAGAAGTTAACGGAAGAGATGATGGAGCTTAGAAAACCGTGCATCGACCAAAGACATCAGTTGTCGGGACAAATGACAGGATGCAGTAGGCAAGCCGTTTTGTGGTTCAGTATGCGAGCTGGCATATTTCCAAGAAGAGATCTCGTCGAGGTTTATGGCGTGAGTTGTACCTACATCGATGCTCGGAGGCCCTCTTCCAGGCGCTGTTCGGCACCGAGAAAGGAAGGAAAGGTTGGCTAAGCCTACCGCCGCGGCTAGTTGGTGCTAATGAAGGTGGCACAGACCGACCGGTGTGTACTTTGCCACTTAGCGGATCCTGTCGTGCCTCGACCCCGAAGTGCACGTTGCGCTGTGTTCAGTGCAACGGCGCGGCGTGTCTCCCTTTTTCTTCGCACCAGCTATTACGAAATTCTGCCGACTGAGAAGTAGGCTTCCTTTGTTCCGGATAACGAAAAAAAGGGCTGGGTGTACAGGTGTACGACTGGAGGTCCCCCGAGCTTTCCATTCGGAAGGACGACATATTTATGAAACTGGCAGCCAGCGAATACCGTACTGGTAAAGAGATTACTTTATTTACATATTCCAGATTTCAACGTGTAGTATAAGGTCCCAATTTTTATTAAATATACCCACCATTTTTACACTTGTATCACCTATTACAAATTGTAGATTACGTGTAACCTTGAACAGTTACTAAAAAAATAATGAAACACGGACAAACTGTTATTCCTGACTTTACAATCTAATGTAGAACATTATCGGAGTCTCCTCTAATTACGGCGTTACATCGAAAGAAAATCCTTTGCGGGCGGTGGCTCGTTTTAATTTCATTCGCCGACGTGAAAAGTAGCACGGAATAATTAATTTTTGTCAGCGTTACGAAACAAGGTTTGTTAATTGATAGACGCCCGACGGTAAAAGGTACGATGTCACGATCATGGGTTTTTCTACCATCGTTTGCGGGCCACACGAGTGTGGGTATAAGCGTCATGCGTAGAGAAAAGGAAGGAGGTAAGTCTGCAGGGTGGCCCATTTGCTGGAGCCTCGTTAAATTCAAGTGGTTCTCGTCGGGTGCCTTCCCAACATCGAAATCAAGAATGTCCCCGAACTGCCTCGTAAAGTCTTTCTTTCTCCCTCTTAGCACGCCTCTCCTTTGCTCCTTCGTTTTTTTCGTTCATATTTCTTTTTTCCTTCGCGGCCTCCTACCAGCGTTCAGGAACGAGAAAAAGCAGAAAAAGCAAAGAGGACTTAATCTGAGACTGCTCTCTGACAAACCTACCATAGTCTATACTCTGCGCCAATTAATTGCGGTACTTTCCTTAATTAATTGGATTCACCTTTCAACGGATGTCTATCGGAACGGTATTCCCCCCCCCCCCCTTTAGTCGGATGAGAAATTTGTTCTTTTTACCGCTGATAATCGTATCTGGATGCGCGAGAATTAATTGTTGTACAAGCGAGAACGATATATTTTATACGTATTGATTTTCGACAATGAATTGTAGTCAGTAAATTATGAGGTTTTACCGCATGAAGTTGCTGATATTCGAGTAGTTGACAGTGAATTCTGATTAGTGAACTTGATACAACTTATATTGGTTGTTGTGGTGTGAAGACGTATAACAGTATAGTATTCCCCTGGTAGGAAAGTTTTTAAAGTTAGTTTTAAGTTTCCCTTAGTAGCAAAGTTGAATAAATTGAAGTATAAAATCTTGCTACGTTCGCCATATGCACGAAATTTTGTCTCAACAGACTATCATCTGTTCTAGTAACTGGAGCATTTTGTTAGAAATGAAAGATTCTTTAATTGAGAAGCAATAATTACAGCATTTGCAGAAATTATACAATCTATTGAAATATATTAGTTCATATTTCGCCACGACAACGTTATAACTGCGGACAGGGCATTTCTACAATAAATAAAAATTATTCTTTCTGGCAATTTCATGTCGTATAACCGAATAAAAAAATACTTTAGTCGTTTACATTTTAAATATTCAATATAATGTATATCCAGTTTAATTTATGGAAAACACAAAAAAAGGTGGTACAAAAATTCTTTCATTTGAAGCATGAAATTATTTTTTGTTAATGGTTTGCCTGATTTTCTTCTGAATACTAGTTAAAACTATCAAATTTGGTTAATGTCTCCAAATTACAACGTATAGAAACGACTGTCAGATCGACTAATTGAACTGTATTTCAAAGATTGTTTAACAAAATTTCTGTTTGCTATCTACTATTATGATTCTTCGATTAGTAAAAGTATAAATATGTAGTTATCTCGAGAGGTGTTTTTTTGAATCATTCAATATCTCATTTGTTTCACCCACTGTTTTATACGCGGTTATAACACTTGGCCGTAATTTGATAACGTTATATAACGTTATCCAATCAAGAATGAAAATTAACTTATTTTAGATTTGATTAGATGACGACTAAAAATACGTTGATAAATATCAGCATAGTTGTGTAGGTCAGTACAGTTAATTCTATAAGTTGAAGGTAACTCAGAACTGTATTTCGTATACTTTACTGATTAAAAGTATACCTAATAATAATTTAACCAATATTTAATGCTAGTGTTACCACCTTTAAAACAATCTGCCTGTATATACAAATTAATTAAAATTGTTAGATAAAATTGCAGTCTTTTAAAAATAAAATGTACAATTCAAAAATGTTGGAATTATACGTTCCTAACAATTAAATGTTAGCTTTACATAGTGATTTCTAAAAGAATAACACTTCATTCATAATACTTTTAACCGAATTCAAGTCAATAATTAATATGTCTATCATATTATTCACTTTACAGGTATCGAATTCCATTTAATTTCTTATCCAAAATATGGTTACGTGTCCATTTCCGGAAGGTAGAGTTGATTTAATTCATTACCGATACCAGAAACATGCCCACGTATGTCTCCGATGACTCGCAATAAAGCTGAACGTTGTTTTCTCCGAATTCGATAAAATTTTATAGAAGTGTATTACTCTAAGTACCACTTTAGCTGTTATCGAGTCGGAAATCATAAGGGAGTTAAAAATATCATAATTTCATGAGCGTGCAGCGAATGCCTGTAGAAAAACATAATGAGAGCTATCAACGGCAAAACTTCTGTCACAAGTACCTATGTACATATATCGAACGAGTTCAGAAGTATCGCCAGAATTCCCCTTTTTCCGTTTCGCGACGTCCGCTCTCTATTACGAACCACGATGTATTTACCTGCAAACATGGCAACGGAAGAAAGTATGACGATAACAACCCGAGACTAATACCGTCGACTCGAAAGATGAGATACGTATGTGATGTTTGCTAGTTCCAGTTACCCATTACCGAACTCCAATATTTCCTATACCTATTCACCTGCCGGCGAAGCTATCGCTACGAAACTTCGATGGTTCGTCTTGAAACGATGATTATCGTTAACAAATAAGGGAACGCAGAATCGTTCGAATACTGCAGTTAAGACGATGACTAGTAGGTATACTTATGCAGTTACGCCAGCATTTATACGTCCACAGAATCTTTCATAACATTTCACTGAAATTATAAGTCCAGCAATTAATTAGTATTACTTTTTTAATCGAAATGTTTAATACTTTACTGACCAGTAGCCTATTAATATACTTCTAAATTTTAGTGCTCGTAGATATGTAGCCTATTAATTTATCCTTAGATCAGGGTTAATGTAAAACTTATTATGTTACTCTAGCAGAGTTCTTGGTATTTTTCATGAATGTAATTTCCTACTGTGATGTTTGAAATGTTTAATAATACTTCCTTGGCTGTTGATCGTTGGGTCTACTAATCTTATTAAATAGGAGACGGTACTTAATGTGTTAATTAATAAACGTTCCTGGAATTGTGGAAACAAGAGGAAAATTTTTCGATTTATAGTTGTACTGCAAAAAATTGATTGCGACCGCATAAGGGAGACTTAATATTGGATAACTTATAGTTGAAAATGTTTTCTTTTATACCCATAGGTACAGAGGTATTTTAGGTGGTATGTAATTTGTAACACTCTGTATAGGGTGGTTCGGTTTTTTGTACAGGAAAGAAGGTTGTGCTAGATTTAAAAGTATGTCGGAGATGTAACATACAATTTTTTTGTACGAACCTTCGTTCTCAAGAAAATCAAATTTTAATACTTTAGATTACGATTGGTCAATGTATTTGAACATCATTTACTCACTTATTATTGCTATTGAATTATTATTTTCTAAT